TTTTTTTTTTTTTTTTTTTTTTTTTTTTTTTTTTTTTTTTTTTTTTTTTTTATTTATGTTGCTTATTTAATAGCGGCACATTGTGAGCTCAAGTCAATCTGCATCGTACTCCTGCTGCTGACGGTCTTCCTCTTTGCGTGCCCGGTGTAAGTGACAGCGTCCCGGATAACGTTCTCGGGGAGAACTCCTCTGGTTTCTTCGTAGATTAAACCAGAGATACGCTTGTGGCGTATTTTGTGGCGTATTTTTCTAACTTCTGGAAATCTTGCAACCTTTGGACAACAAAATGAATATCATGGCTTGGTCAAATCTGGCAAGAATCTTCAACATCTTTACAAGTGATATAAGCTTCATTATATTTCGACACCGAGTGGATGTTGTGTCTCAATTAGCATTATCTAGTGAAATCGCATTCCTTGTGAATTTGATTTTACTCGGAGAGACCAGATTGAACATCAGCTATATGTTACCCGTCTGTGCACCCTTAGCTTTGATTTTCTCAGGAGTCTCACTCTTACTTGGCAACATTTCTGAAGACAACATATTTACAATGGATATAAGCTCGATCATACGATTCCGAATGGCTTCATCAATTGAAATCGTATTCTCTGTGGATTTAATTCTCTTTGGAGTGGTTATAATGAGCATCCGCTGTAAGTTGCACGTCTTATTTCATCTCTTTGCTTGGGTTACGTCAAGAGTCTTCCGCTTTCTTAACAACTTTCTTGGAGGCAGCATTTTCCCTGCGATGCACTCAATTCCATGGACTGAAGTCGGAATCGCTCTGGATATCATTCACCTAGGAGAGACATTGTTCTCATTTTACCAATCTCTTGTGTGAGAAAAATAAATAAAAAAACTTTTAAAAAAAATAAAATTTTTTTATTGAATGTTGCTTATTTAATAGTGGCACATTGTGAGCTCAAGTCAATTTGTATCATTACCCTCCTGCTGCTGCTGCTTCTACACTTGTGATGAAATTGTATTGTATTGAAATTTGAATATATTGTATTGTATTGAATGTATTGCATTATAATATAAATAAATAAATAGCCCTCTGGGATACATTTTTTTTCAAAACAGTTTGTCATTCTTGAAAATTTCATTTCCTGTCAGATATTTGGTCAATTTAGGAATTGGTAACTGGACGGAGTAAGCTTGGCGCTAGCTCATATCCATCAATCTTCAAGACGCTAGCTCATATCCATCAATCAATCAATCAAAGTATTTGGCGTTGTTTAAACAACAGCATTCACCATTTTCTGGATTTGGTTGCGCGGTATTTCGTATTTTGTCATCATGAAAGTTTTAATTACAGGTAATTCTTATTATTTAAAGATTTATAACATTAGTGTATGTTTTATTGTACTATATGAAGGAATTACATGAAATTTAAAAAAAGATTAATGAATTTTATTCTATTTCTGTAAATACAACGCTTTAGAATGTAAATTACTTAGTTCGTTATTATATGTAGAATTTATGTATTTTAAGAAATTCGTAATAAAAGAACAACAACATTTTTCATTTACCAAAGTTTTTCTCTGCTTTCTTAGAAATCGTTTGTTTGATCTGTCAAAAATGTGTGAAGCAGTATAGTAATGAAATATCATTTAGTTAAATTACCTGATTTATATTTATTTTAGTGACATAATATAAAGGTATCTTTTTTTTCTGGGAAATATATTGCTAATTAAAATTTATTTTTTATAGATAGCTCAATATCAGGGCCGGATTTACGTATAAGCTAAATAAGCTGTAGCTTTGGGGCCCCGAGATGGCAAGGGCTCCCAGATCCAACTTTTTCCTTCTTTTTTTAAATGACCGCCATTAACATGTCGGACAGGCGTAAATGCTACTAACGAAAGGTCAATGCAATTATCACGTTCACGTACGTCGAGGCTAAACAAGTTACTACTGCCGCTTACACGGTGTGTTCACGTTGGCTGGATTTGAAAACTATTTCATCTTGATGTTCGGTCTTTCAAACATTGATCAGTGATCGACGTCGCAGAAGAACTGCAGTCATCAGGCTTGAATCAAACGCTCACGAAGAGAGGAAGAGATCATCGCTGAGGCAGGCAGGTGGTGACGACTGGCTGGCCGGAACTCATCGTTGGTCATCCCGCTGCAAGGCGATAGAGCCCCCGGCTCGGAGAACTCGCAAGGCACGTCCGTCTCCTAAGGCGTCTTCATCACGTAACCTGGTTGACTTGACTTGATATGAAGTGATGCGGAGTACCTGCCCGCGCAAGCGGGCATCTCACTCCTTCATCGGATTGGAATTTGCCCTAGGGCGACTGTGACTAAATGGCGTGGTGATATGTATCACAGAAAAAATCTGTGATTTCATCTTGTAATTTCTCCACACTAGGCCTTGGTAGATGGGAGAAGGGATTGTATC